CACCAGGGAATTTCGTCCATAAGAACACGCTGTACCGCTGTACGTCATGTCGTTGTTGCTTAAGATTCGCTACTTGGAACCAAAAGTTGCAAGTAGCACGGGCTATGGTGAGCCCGTAGTGGACTTACCTGGCACAGGAGCGGGGCAAGTAGCACGGGCTATGGTGAGCCCGTAGTGGACTTACCTGGCACAGGAGCGGGGCAAGTAGCACGGGCTATGGTGAGCCCGTAGTGGACTTACCTGGCACAGGAGCGGGGCAAGTAGCACGGGCTATGGTGAGCCCGTAGTGGACTTACCTGGCACAGGAGCGGGGCAAGTAGCACGGGCTATGGTGAGCCCGTAGTGGACTTACCTGGCACAGGAGCGGGGCAAGTAGCACGGGCTATGGTGAGCCCGTAGTGGACTTACCTGGCATAGGAGCGGGGCAAGTAGCACGGGCTATGGTGAGCCCGTAGTGGACTTCTGTACGTTAACCTCCACAGTTACAGTTACTAAAGACTGTGAAGACCAAACTGATGCTTCAGACTGTTGCTGTAAGCAGCTGTGGTTCATAGATGACCGTAAAGTTCCTCAAGCATCTTAAAATGACCTAATATTTACCTCTATGGACTGAACCCAGCAGGCATCATGACATGACATCATGACATGACACCATGACATGACACCATGACATGACACCATGACATGACACCATGACATGACACCATGACATGACACCATGACATGACACCATGACATGACACCATGACATGACACCATGACATGACATCATGACATCATGGCCACTGCCATTAAAAGGCAGTCATATGTACAATTAATATCCTCCTATCAGCCAGGGGCCTCCGTAGCTCAGTGGGCAGAGCACTGGTCTTGTAAACCAGGGGTCGGGAGTTCGATTCTCTCTGGAGGCTGTGGTTTGGTTATCTCGTAGACTGTGTAAACTCTTTGTCCACTTCTGTATCTGTATTAGTATATATAACTACTGAACTTCTATATTATAGAAAATATATTAATCTTAAATAATATATGTTATTTGAGACGTCTTGGCGATGGGTACATGAACAATCTGTGACTTCATGAACAATAACATAAAACTTGTTGAACACTGACTTAATGAACAATAACAGAGTTCATATGCATGCGCAACGACTTCATACTGAAGAGAGTGCAGGGAATAGCGTCAAAGTGGCCATATTGGAGCCATATTGAAGCCTGGAACCATATTGGAGGGCGAACCGTGACATGTCATGGAAGGATTTGACGGCGGCTTGTCAAAGGCGCCCCCCCATTTATCCTGTCTATTATATCCAGTTGGATTTCGAACTTCACCAATGTCTTAGCCTTTACGGCTTCGGCGGGTAGGCGGTTCCATTGGTTTATAATCCTGTGGGTGACAAATCATCTCGTGTTTTCAGTCCTACACTGTGGCTTGTTGAGCTGAACCCGTTGTTCCTTGTTTGTGTTACATCTGACCTATACATGAAGTGGTCTAGAACAACATCCTCCAAATTGTTCAGTATTTTAAAACTCTTGAGGAGATCAGCCTTGTCATGTCTGGTTTGTAGTGTTGTTAGCCCTGTGGCCCTCAGCATGTCCTGGCGTGAGAATCAACTCTGTTCTGGGATGATTTTTGTCGCCTGGAGTTGAATTTTTTCCAAGTCAATTATGTCTTTCAGAAGATGAGGTCCCCAGGCTTGGGTACAATACCCTAACTGAGGACGCATCACAGATTTGCACACTAGAATAACTACCTTCTTTTGCTTGAAATCAAAGTTTCATTTGACTATTCCTAGAGGAGTGTGTTGTTTGGCTTTCTTTGTATTGCTGCACTTATTGTGTTGCAATCTGCTGCAAGGCAGCGTCGTAGCCTGGTGGATAGCGCGCAGGACTCGTAATTCTGTGGCGCGGGTTCGATTCCCGCACGAGGCAGAAACAAATGGGCAAAGTTTCTTTCACCCTGAATGCCCCTGTTACCTAGCAGTAAAAAGGTACCTGGGAGTTAGTCAGCTGTCACGGGCTGCTTCCTGGGGGGTGGAGGCCTGGTCGAGGACCGGGCCGCGGGGACACTAAAGCCCCGAAATCATCTCAAGATAACCTCAAGAAGGCAACGTTGCTGATTTGGTAGTTGTGTTGGACATAATTATTCTCCAAAAAAGAAGATCTTGCATTTTCTAGTATTAAAAAAGCATTAGCCAGCCTTCCGATCACTTGTGGAGGCCATGTAGATCTCTTTGTAAGGTCTGAATACCATCTTGAGGTTATCTTGAGACGATTTCGGGGCTTTTTAGTGTCCCCGCGGCCCGGTCCTCAACCAGGCCTCCACCCCCAGGAAGCAGCCCGTGACAGCTGACTAACTCCCAGGTACCTTTTTACTGCTAGGTAACAGGGGCATTCAGGGTGAAAGAAACTCTGCCCATTGTTTCTCGCCGGCGCCTGGGATCGAACCCAGCACCACAGGATCACAAGTCCAGTGTGCTGTCCGCTCGGCCGACCGGCTCCCTCCTCCCGGCCGACCATTGTCACGTCTTTACCATATATCTTTGTGTCATCTGCAAAATATGAAGATTTCGAAGAATTCATGTATTAGTAAACATACATTTCTCTCAAGCTCTTGGAAGTCCCTTGTCTGCACACATCTGGCTGCTGTCTTCAGGTGTGTAAACACGTTTGTAAGTCAGGATTAATTTTTAACACAGCCATGTTGGGTTGATTGTAGTAGACATGATTGTGACCTATTGAAGCCTTCCCTCTATATGGGCTTCTCTCCATCAACTTTAATTGTTAAACTCAGGAACAGTTTGGCAGTGTTCTTCCTGATTAGTTGGCAGGTTATTATGTTATTGTTGATGAAGTCAGTGTGTTATTGTTGATGAAGTCAGTCAGTGTGTTATTCTTGATGAAGTCAGTCAGTTATTGTTGATGAAGTCAGTGTGTTATTGTTGATGAAGTCAGTGTGTTATTGTTGATGAAGTCAGTGTGTTATTGTTGATGAAGTCAGTCAGTGTGTTATTGTTGATGAAGTCAGTCAGTGTGTTATTGTTGATGAAGTCAGTCAGTGTGTTATTGTTGATGAAGTCAGTCAGTGTGTTATTGTTGATGAAGTCAGTGTGTTATTGTTGATGAAGTCAGTGTGTTATTGTTGATGAAGTCAGTCAGTGTGTTATTGTTGATGAAGTCAGTCAGTGTGTTATTGTTGATGAAGTCAGTGTGTTATTGTTGATGAAGTCAGTCAGTGTGTTATTGTTGATGAAGTCAGTCAGTGTGTTATTGTTGATGAAGTCAGTGTGTTATTGTTGATGAAGTCAGTGTGTTATTGTTGATGAAGTCAGTCAGTGTGTTATTGTTGATGAAGTCAGTCAGTGTGTTATTGTTGATGAAGTCAGTGTGTTATTGTTGATGAAGTCAGTGTGTTATTGTTGATGAAGTCAGTCAGTGTGTTATTGTTGATGAAGTCAGTCAGTGTGTTATTGTTGATGAAGTCAGTCAGTGTGTTATTGTTGATGAAGTCAGTCAGTGTGTTATTGTTGATGAAGTCAGTCAGTGTGTTATTGTTGATGAAGTCAGTCAGTGTGTTATTGTTGATGAAGTCAGTCAGTGTGTTATTGTTGATGAAGTCAGTCAGTGTGTTATTGTTGATGAAGTCAGTGTGTTATTGTTGATGAAGTCAGTGTGTTATTGTTGATGAAGTCAGTCAGTGTGTTATTGTTGATGAAGTCAGTCAGTGTGTTATTGTTGATGAAGTCAGTCAGTGTGTTATTGTTGATGAAGTCAGTGTGTTATTGTTGATGAAGTCAGTCAGTGTGTTATTGTTGATGAAGTCAGTCAGTGTGTTATTGTTGATGAAGTCAGTGTGTTATTGTTGATGAAGTCAGTGTGTTATTGTTGATGAAGTCAGTCAGTGTGTTATTGTTGATGAAGTCAGTCAGTGTGTTATTGTTGATGAAGTCAGTGTGTTATTGTTGATGAAGTCAGTCAGTGTGTTATTGTTGATGAAGTCAGTCAGTGTGTTATTGTTGATGAAGTCAGTCAGTGTGTTATTGTTGATGAAGTCAGTCAGTGTGTTATTGTTGATGAAGTCAGTCAGTGTGTTATTGTTGATGAAGTCAGTCAGTGTGTTATTGTTGATGAAGTCAGTCAGTTATTGTTGATGAAGTCAGTGTGTTATTGTTGATGAAGTCAGTGTGTTATTGTTGATGAAGTCAGTCAGTGTGTTATTGTTGATGAAGTCAGTCAGTGTGTTATTGTTGATGAAGTCAGTCAGTGTGTTATTGTTGATGAAGTCAGTCAGTTATTGTTGATGAAGTCAGTCAGTGTGTTATTGTTGATGAAGTCAGTCAGTTATTGTTGATGAAGTCAGTGTGTTATTGTTGATGAAGTCAGTGTGTTATTGTTGATGAAGTCAGTCAGTGTGTTATTGTTGATGAAGTCAGTCAGTGTGTTATTGTTGATGAAGTCAGTCAGTGTGTTATTGTTGATGAAGTCAGTGTGTTATTGTTGATGAAGTCAGTGTGTTATTGTTGATGAAGTCAGTGTGTTATTGTTGATGAAGTCAGTGTGTTATTGTTGATGAAGTCAGTGTGTTATTGTTGATGAAGTCAGTCAGTGTGTTATTGTTGATGAAGTCAGTCAGTGTGTTATTGTTGATGAAGTCAGTCAGTGTGTTATTGTTGATGAAGTCAGTCAGTGTGTTATTGTTGATGAAGTCAGTCAGTGTGTTATTCTTGAAGAAGTCAGTCAGTGTGTTATTCTTGAAGAAGTCAGTCAGTGTGTTATTCTTGAAGAAGTCAGTCTGTTATTTAATTTTCATCTCAAATCATTAGACCTAAAGATAATAAAGATTAATATATTTTCCTTAACATAGTTTTACAAATACATAGTATACAGATACATAGTATACAGATACATAGTATACAGATACATAGTATACAGATACACAGTATACAAATACAGCTAAAGAGTTAACATAGAGTATACTTGTCCACTCGAGATAACTAAACCACAGCCTCCAGAGAGAATCGAACTCCCGACCCCTGGTTTACAAGACCAGTGCTCTGCCCACTGAGCTACGGAGGCCCCTGGCTGACACTCTCCAAGAGGTGATTGTTACTGTAAAATGTAAATAATGGTAATTAATGGTAGAAATGGTCAGACTATGACTGGCTATGGGAGAAGGGTATAGTACACTCTGACTTAGTGAACAAGTACACTCTGACTTAGTGAACACCACGTCACTTCCACCACAAACAAGACAATAAACAACTACGGAAAAAGATACATATACACACGTTATCACAGCAATACATATGGGAAGATTTTATCCATGTAATTTCTTAACTATCATTGTAAATATTAGAGTATTATCCCAAACAACTTTGAGACTTCATTCACATTCATTATATATATATATATATATATATATATATATATATATATATATATATATATATATATATATATATATATATATATATATATATATGTCGTACCTAGTAGCCAGAACGCACTTCTCAGCCTACTATGCAAGGCCCTATTTGCCTATTAAGCCAAGTTTTCCTGAATTAATATATTTTCTCTATTTTTTTTCTTATGAAATGATAAAGCTACCCATTTCATTATGTATGAGGTCAATTTTATTTTATTGGAATTAAAATTAACGTAGATATATGACCGAACCTAACCAACCCTACCTAACCTAACCTAACCTATCTTTATTGGTTAGGTTAGGTTAGGTAGCAGAAAAAGTTAGGTTAGGTTAGGTTAGGTAGGTTAGGTAGTCGAAAAACAATTAATTCATGAAAACTTGGCTTATTAGGCAAATCGGGCCTTGCATAGTAGGCTGAGAAGTGCGTTCTGGCTACTAGGTACGATATATATATATATATATATATATATATATATATATATATATATATATATATATATATATATATATATATATATAACGATTTTTATGATTTGGGTAATTAGATGTACTTACATATTGGTATTGTGGCATTTATGTATATTTTCTAGAATATAATTTCCGATTGAACAGGTGTAGATCACGACAATAGACAAGACGTGAACAGGTCGCCTTTGACAGCAGCAAAACTCCCTCAGAAGTCTTGTCATGTTGAAATGTTTCTAAATGTTTTCTCACAATTTTTTATTTTTCTCTTGTGAATTATTTTTGCTTCTCAGCTGTATATAAAAGGCTCAGCTTCTGGCGTGGCAAGAGTGGAGGTCACGTTCAATTTTGTGTTAGTGTTGTCTGTGTAACCCATTGGGTGTTGCAGGAGGTGTTGACGGTGACATAGAGGTGTCTGAAGGTGTTGCAGCAATACTTTCAGGGATGGAGGAGTTGTGTGTCTAACTTTCCTGTAAAACTTTTACCACAGACAGAATTTCCAACAATCTTTAACTGCTGAGTTTTTTTAGCAAAGTGAGAGTTCCAGATAATGTCAATTTTGCTTGGTTCATCTGAGAAGTTATAGTCTCTGTCTCTGTCTCTGTCTCTCTCTCTCTCTCTCTCTCTCTCTCTCTCTCTCTCTCTCTCTCTCTCTCTCTCTCTCTCTCTCTCTCTCTCTCTCTCTCTCTCTCTCTCTCCCTATCTCTTTCTCTTTCTCCTGCCGTTCTCTTTCTCTCTCAGGTAATGACAACATAAGACGCTCAGTTAGCCAGAGCCTCAAGGTGGTGCCAGGGGCTGATGTAGGTTGACAACTTCTAGCTTCTAGTTTCATTACTAACTTCACTCTAATTCCTACTAAACCCTAGTCTTACTTTAATTAGAAAAACAGACCCGTGCCCCGCCGGCTTCTTATTATAGTATACATGAAAGTCTCTATGTATTGGAGGCCCCTGGCGTTATGTATATTGTGGAATGGTCACTGATGTTTGAGATACATGAACAGTGAATATATGATATATGAACAGGACTAGTCACAGTATTCCTCTATCCTCACATTGCTTCACTCTGCTTCCTACTGCCTTCCTGAATGGCGTCTTAGGTCTCCTCCTACTGTGTGCCAAGACCTCTTCCTCCTCCTCCTCCTCCTCCTCCTCTTCCCCCCTACCTCCCCCCCCCCGGCACCAGAGCCACAGTGGACCAAGTAATTTACAACCTCATTATTTTCTCCTTATTGCCAGCAGTTTATGGCTCTGTTTCCTTAATTTCTCGGTGAGGTGATTCTGGGTAAATACTGCCGGCTTTCCTGGCTTGATAACCCCTGATAACTCTGGCTTGATAACCCGTGATAACTCTGGCTTGATGACCCGTGATAACGCTGGCTTGATGATCCGTGATAACGCTGGCTTGATGACCCGTGATAACTCTGGCTTGATAACCCGTGATAACGCGTGCTTGATGACCCGTGATAACTCTGACTTGATAACCCCTGATAACTCTGGCTTGATGACCCGTGATAACTCTGGCTTGATGACCCCTGATAACTCTGGCTTGATAACCCGTGATAACGCTGGCTTGATGACCCGTGATAACTCTGGCTTAATAACCCGTGATAACGCTGGCTTGATGACCCGTGATAACTCTGGCTTGATAACCCCTGATAACTCTGGCTTGATGACCCGTGATAACGCTGGCTTGATGACCCGTGATGACTCTGGCTTGATAACACGTGATAACGCTGGCTTGATGACCCGTGATAACTCTGGCTTGATAACCCCTGATAACTCTGGCTTGATGACCCGTGATAACGCTGGCTTGATAACCCGTGATAACTCTCGCTTGATAACCCGTGATAACGCTGGCTTGATAACCCGTGATAACTCTAGCTTGATAACCCGTGATAACGCTGGCTTGATAACCCGTGATAACGCTGGCTTGATGACCCGTGATAACTCTGGCTTGATAACCCCTGATAACTCTGGCTTGATGACCCGTGATAACGCTGGCTTGATAACCCGTGATAACTCTCGCTTGATAACCCGTGATAACGCTGGCTTGATAACCCGTGATAACGCTGGGTTGATAACCCGTGATAACGCTGGCTTGATAACCCGTGATAACGCTGGCTTGATGACCCGTGATAACTCTGGCTTGAAGACCCGTGATAACGCTGGCTTGATGACCCGTGATAACTCTGGCTTGATGACCCGTGATAACTCTGGCTTGATAACCCGTGATAACTCTGGCTTGATGACCCAGATAACACTGGCTTGATGACCCGTGATAACTCTGGCTTGATAACCCATGATAACTCTGGCTTGATGACCCAGATAACACTGGCTTGATGACCCAGATAACACTGGCTTGATGACCACCATATCCTGTGTTGAACACTATCTTTATTCATCACTGTGTTCATCACTACTTGTGTTCAACATTACCTGTACTCACCTATTTGTACTTACCTAGTTGTGCTTGCGGGGGTTGAGCTTAGACTCTTTGGTCCCGCCTCTCAACTGTCAATCAACTGGTGTACAGGTTCCTGAGCCTACTGGGCTCTATCATATCTACAATTGTAACTGTGTATGGAGTCAGCCTCCACCACATCACTTCCTAGTGCATTCCATTTGTTAACTACTCTGGCACTGAAAAAGTTCCTTCTTACGTCCCTGTGGCTCATGTGGGTACTCAGTTTCCACCCGTGTCCCCTTGTTCGTGTTCCATCCGTGCTAAAGAGTTTGTCTTTGTCCACCCTGTCAATTCCCTTGAGAATTTTGTAGGTGGTTATCATGTCTCCTCTAACTCTTCTGTCTTCCAAGGACGTTAGGTTCAGCTCCCTTAGCCTTTCCCAGTAGCTCATACCTCTCAGTTCCGGGACTACTCCGGTGGCATACCTCTGAATCTTCTCTAACTTTGTCTTGTGTTTAACTAGGTATGGACTCCAGGCTAGCGATGCATACTCAAGGATTAGTCTGACATAAGTGGTATACAGGGTTCTGAACGATTCCTTACACAAGTTTCTAAAGGCAGTTCTTATGTTGGCCAGTCTAGCATATGCCGCTGATGATATTCTTTTGATGTGGGCCTCTGGGGACAGGTTCGGTGTGATATCAACCCCCAGATCTTTCTCTCTATTTGACTCTTGCAGGATTTCACCTCCCAGATGGTACCTTGTATTCAGCCTCCTGCTCCCTTCGTCTAATTTCATTACTTTACACTTTCCTGAGTTGAACTTTAGCAGCCATTTTTTAGACCATTCCTCCAGTTTATCCAGGTCATCCTGTAGTCTCTGTCTATCATCATCCGTCTTGATTCTTCTCATAATTTTTGCATCATCAACAAACATTGAGAGGAACGAGTCTATACCCTCCGGAAGATCGTTTACATATATTAGAAACAGGATGGGTCCATGTACAGAACCCTGTGGGACTCCGCTGGTGACATCTCGCCACTCTGATGTCTCACCCCTCACCGTTACTCGCTGTTTCCTGTTGCTTAGATACTCCCTTATCCACTGGAGCACCTTACTGTTACTCCTGCCTGTTGCTCCAACTTTTGTAACAGCCTTTTGTGAGGTACTGTGTCAAAGACTTTCTGACAGTCTAAGAAAATGCAGTCTGCCCACCCTTCTCTGTCTTGCCTAATGTTTGTCGCCCGGTGATGTGTTCACCACTACCTGTGTTCATCACTATCATGTGTTCACCACTACCTGTGTTCATCACTATCATGTGTTCACCACTACCTGTGTTCACCACTACCTGTGTTCACCACTACCTGTGTTCACCACTACCTGTGTTCACCACTACCTGTGTTCACCACTAGCTGTGTTCACCACTAGCTGTGTTCACCACTAGCTGTGTTCACCACTAGCTGTGTTCACCACTACCTGTGTTCATCACTATCCTGTGTTCACCACTACCTGTGTTCACAACTAGCTGTGTTCACCACTAGCTGTGTTCACCACTAGCTGTGTTCACCACTAGCTGTGTTCACCACTACCTGTGTTCACCAATACCTGTGTTCACCACTAGCTGTGTTCACCACTAGCTGTGTTCACCACTACCTGTGTTCACCACTACCTGTGTTCACCACTACCTGTGTTCACCACTACCTGTGTTCACCACTAGCTGTGTTCACCACTACCTGTGTTCACCACTACCTGTGTTCACCACTAGCTGTGTTCACCACT